GCGAGCACGAAACATCAGACAGAGCGGCATGCAAGCACAACAACCACACAGTACAAGTGCTGCCAAGTCTTCACAGCGCCCTGGCTTCGCGTTGTGTGCGTAGTAACGGTGAGGAAGCCCCTTGTTAGTATCCACTGTTTTTTTAAAAAATTGAGGCCGACTCCTGGGGGCTGCACACAGCGCACAAGCCCACGTTTTTGCCCGTGTGCTGTCGTTGGTGCACCCCCAATCACGACAATATAAATAATACGTTTTAATGCAGAGGGGAATAATCAGACATAACATGGTTGCAGCTTTAATGTGTGACTTAGCGGCGCGGAGGGAAGACCGGCTGTGCCAGCGTGGGCTCCGCAGTGGGAAGAAGAGGGAAGGGTCTATGTGGCGTTGTCACGTGCAACTCATGATTATTATCAAGGTGTCAATGTGTTTATTGTAAGGGTGCAGATTTAGCATAGCATGGCATGGTATGGCTATGCCGAGTGTATGCCATGGTTCACCAGGAACCTTCATGAGCGATGATGGACGGAACTTGTTTAACGCTGACTCCGCACAGAGTGTGTCTTGCAGAACTCCTATAGGGCATGGAGAGCTATGGTGTTGTTGTCAACAGCTAAATGGCCCCTCAAACTGCTCTGCTTAGGGTGGGATACAGAGGGAAATGCAGAAGCATGCATACAGCCCTCAGTGCCTTAGTCTGGTTTTCTCTTTGAGGGCAATGACACTGTGGAAGGCATTGTGGAAGGCCGAGTTCCGCAGCTCTTAGTCCCTCATTGTGGGAGGCATAAGAAGAGTACGCTAGAGAAAGCTCTTCCACCCGTATTACTGTGTGCTGAAGGAGCAAGGTAGCTTGTCCTTCAGTGGAAATATGAAAACCAATAGACGATGCAAAGATGAAATGTAGATCCACACAAAGGCAGCATAGTATAGCAATCAATATTGTTTTATCGACCACTTCCCACCGCTCCTGCACCGGAGGAATTGGTGTCAACGTGTTGGCTGACTCAGAGAATTCGTAAATAAATCAAACCACTGTGCTAACCAAGGCACACAAGCGCACAGTCACGAGCAATGCAATAACTAACCACATATGCAAATAACCGTCGTAGATTCGTTTGATCCTATGTTACTTTATGAAACAGCTTTCCCTCCCTATATTACCTTATTTATCAAGGCAACCCATCGAGAGTGTCATGGTGGAAGTGGTGCATCCCACTCATGAGGAAAACACAAAGCGTCCTCTGTCCCTTTTTTAACACTTTTTCATCGCTTCTTTTCTTAGACTTCAAATTTGAAGTGCAGAAGCCGATGGGAGTGGTAGTGTCGGAGACTCCAGTTCCCCCCTCCCCCCTTTATCGCATGTCACGGACCGCAATTCCAACACTTCTAGAGGCTAACACACAAATGCATATAGTGGGCACGGCATCGCCGTGGAAGAAACGAAGAACACCAATACGCGTAAAGATCATTAACCAAAACGGCGTATGGAACAAGAAAAACAATGTCAACTAGGTTCAGGTAAAGCAACCTAGGTCGCAGAAGCACGACACTGGTATCAACACAGAAGCAATGACACTACCTTCTTACAATTGCGCAACAAATACTGGAAACATTGTGGAACACCCATCACACACCACTCCATCTTCAAAAGCATCAGCCCCTGTTGGTTGTCAACCACATATATGCCGAATAATCCACAGCACTGGGGGAAAAAAAAAGCAACGAGACCTTCCCAGACACACATACCACCATATAACGCTATTAATGGCGCGTGAGCCGTCGGCACAAACATTTTACCTGTACTACCTCGGCAACCACACCACAAAGCCATCACCTGCCCCAACAGTGAATCGCCCTGACACAAACTTCTCTTGCAAAAAAAACTGTCAGTACCAAACCAAAGTCACAACCACACTGCGGGCACCAAGCACGTCCACGATGTAGGCCGCGTATCTATCACGGAAAAAACTGTTGTTGATAACAGCAAGGACAGATGCGCCCAGACCGGCAAACGTCTTCATCAGCGCCACCACAGGGCCCTTCGTCAGCGGAAAGCTCCCCAGCACCGCCATCAGCGAGCCAGTGTCAAAGGAAAGACACCCAAAGTTTAGGAACGCGCAAAAAACAGAAAATCGCACCACCGAGGCAGCTATCAGCCCGTTGAACGCCAGTCCGAAGAGGAGGGCGCCGAGAGCACACGACGTGGTGGCGATGAGAAGCACCCATACGGGGCCGGCGTAGTCAAGCAGCATCCCGCAGGGGAAGGTCACGAAGCCAACAACGATTCCGGTGGTTGTAATGGTTGTAAGGTCACTTCCACTCAGTCCATACTCCGTCTGAAGATAGTTGCTGAGAAGGTTGAAGCCGTAAAAGACGGATATGGCGAGCGAGGCTGCAAGACCACCAAGGACGATCCTAAAGCGGCGAAGCTCATTGATGCGGTAGTCCATTTGTCACTGCTTTTTTCTTCTTGTTGGGCTTTCAGTGTGTGTGAGGAAGCAGTGGTTGTCTTTTAACATATGTGGCGTGGAACAAAAGAAAAAATCATTAAATTAGGAAGGGTGCTTTTATGATGAGCGAACGGAAGACGCAGTCGCGTCAAAGACACTAAATTGGGCAAATACCTGAGGTATAACAGGAAGCGGTACTTGTATTGCCGAAAATTCTTTTTCTTATGGTGTGTGCCACTGTGGGAAACAATAGCCTGTTACCAATCTCTCGTATAAAGCGGAAAGATTCAGCAAACGGGCAAACTGGTGTCGAAACTCGATCACACCGCCGGCCCGTGACTTTGTAGCGCTATTGGAGAGTCCTGTTGTTTGTTTGTTTGTTTTTTGATTCATGGGGAATCGCCTATTTTCGCCAACTCTTGAAAATTCTCGGCTGTCTATAGTTGAATAGTGATGTCATGGGGACGCTACTGAGGGGGTAATATGGCTCCCCGCATTCACCAGCGTGCACCGTCGTTGATCGTCGTCGACATTTTCCCACCAATGGAGTGCTAGTTAAGCAGTCAATCTGTTCTTTTAAAAAGGATCAAATAAATGAAGAGGATAAGGAGAGAGTCGTCAAGATGAGATGGAGAGAAGCTGAGCGGTCCACCACTAAATATCTTGTTTTTCGAACACTCTCCCTTTGGCCTCTACACCAGCCAGTACGCCATCAGCACAGCTATCAACGGTATCGCCAAAAGAACAACAATCAGCTGAGCCATTGATGGAATGCCGTCACTGAAAGGAAACAAAAGTTTTAACTCCTGTTTATGTGGAAATAACATAAGGGCCGTGTATTTTGTTCGCATGCTCATTCCGTCCACTGCGGCCTCTGCAAGTAGTGATACAGTTTCCCGTCTTAAAGCGGTATTAATTGCACGGTCGCCAATTCTGTCATCCTTCACAAAGCAGCTCTTCTTGACCTGATGTTTTGGAACAATACTGGCTACACCAACGCCATTCCTCGACGCATTCGATTCCATTGATATGTGTTCCCAAAACGGCAGCACCGACACCACCACGTTCTGCGCAATGTCTGTAGTCAGAACGTCGTTTAGGACCGAAACGGCCACGCACGAAATGGGTTCACGGTGTATGGCGGGAAAATGTTTGGCTTCACGCTTGTTCTTCGAGGGACGGATCGACATAATCTGAACATCGCCGTCACCGTTATATACCAGGGACACGAGTGTGCCTTCAACAGTGCCGGCCAACCAGTAGGACGGAATGGCGGTGCCCACTCCTTCTCCAGCGGTGAGGGCGCCTTCGGGGCCACTCCTGCGATAATAGCATGGGCTAATTGACGTGACACCTTCCTTCACCAATGGAGCAGGGTGCGGGGCGAAGCGCACCTGCAGCGCCAAATGTTTGGATGGTTCCTTACCCGCATTTTCTCCCACTGATCTTGCTGCTTCTACCTCAGCGGCAGCGATGGCGGTAGAAACAGAACCAGTAGCAAGAGTGCCACTAATCTCACCCGCGAGCCGTGTGCCATCCGACAGAGACCTTTCATCGTGAGCGACAGCTTTGCTCAGCACTCGGGCCGTCAGCATATACGATTGATTACCCATCACGTCGTATACAACCACAACGAGGTTCGCAACTGGCATGGAGCCGCGAGTGCCTTCTTCACAGTGAAGACGCCGCGCCTTCTTCCACACCGCATCTGCTGCAGACGGGGCGACGTCCTCCACCCCAAACACCTGTACCAGTCGCATAGAGGACCTCATCAGCGAGAAAGGAATGCGGCAGTCTTTTCCGGTGAAGACGCATGCATCCGCGAGCCTGGCGGTGCAGCGTTTTTCGTCCATAATACCACTTTCGTCCTTCTTGTGACACCGGCGGAGCTTCATCGTGGAAAGCCGAAGAGTTTTGTCCTGAACCAAGACTGCTATGAGGAGGTAGTCCGAGTGCTGATATCGCTTCGATGCATCACCACCACCACTCTTCTTAGGCACAAAGAAGCGGTTGGCGTGCAGGTCGTTGACGCGCGCCGGCAGATGCCACACGGCGATGGGAACCGCCTCTTCCACTACCGCGGCTGGCGGCGGAACGACTGTTGAGCGCTGCTGTCGCCGCCGCTGCTGCTCCTCCTCCCCCACCTCCTCCTCTTCAGGGCCCACCTTGTCCGATTCCGCACCCCGCAGGAGCGAGGCAAGTCCGTAGACGTGCACACCGCCCTCGTCGTGGGCGACGGCGACAGCGCCCTGCACAAGAGCAATGGGCTTCTTGTCGGGGTTCTTCGCGTCGGCGGGTACAGCCACGCACGCACGCCGCCGCATGACAAGCTTGCCCGTCTCTTGGCACCGTCGCACCTCAACAAGCGTGAAGCAGGTGATGTGGCTGACTGCGAGGTACCCCATGACGCCCTGAGCAAGCTGCGCACCATCTGTACACGGCAAAAATGACGACGCACACCATGGGATATTCCCCTCCATGTCAACAGCCGACACAAAGCTCCAGGGATGCATTGAAAGCCCTTCCAGAGTATTCTGCTGCTTTTTTTCGTCTTGTTGCTTCCGCGTGCCACCAGGGGAGCAGGCACGCTGCCGCGGTGTGGAGTCAACAGTAATGATCGCGAGCAAGTTGGCCATGCCGAAGCGTCTGCCGCCTCCGCCAGCCCCAATAACAGCGTAGCGGTCGTCTATCCACCGCGCAAAGTACACCGGCGAGGGGAACTGCATGCACCAAGGAGTCTTGCCACATGCAACCACCTCCTTTGCAACGAAAGACTGTGATCCCTCTTCATCCATCGACCTGGGTTCACGGGGCTCTTGTTAGTTTCTTCGCAACCACCAGCCACCCTCAAAAAAAAAGTAATTAATAAAAGAAAGGGCATCAAGAAAAAAAAAAAGAATTTATCGCATGCGCAGCAAATCAACGGCCTCTTGAGGCCTAATGGTCCCCGTGGGAGAAATTGGAAAACCACGACATGTATGTGCGCCTGTCTCGCATCCACATGCAGGCGAGGAGCACGGCGGCAACTTCTCAGCTTCCTTGCGGCCAGAGACTGCGTTGGGAGTGTGCGCAGCGCCAGCTGTACATCCACACCGGCCCAAAGGGCCCCACCATCAGCTGTCACTCTGAGCAACACTCTTCCTGGGGCAACAGCGCCGCCAGCTTCCCCCTTTACGTCTACCCACACGCAATCGTTGGTATGCGTCATGTGCAAAGAATATCCTGCCACGAGAAACCTCTCATTCCCAGTGATTCAAAAGAGGTACTAAGATGAAGAAATGAAATTTCTCTTCAGTTCACTCTCCAGCGGTAGTTGAAGCGATCATTGTGAATCTGCTTCATCGTCGCCACGTGCTTTGGCACGACGTTGACGGTTGGCAGTGCCCGCACTTTGCGCCGGATTGACGCGCACTTGCGCTCCCTTTCCGCGTCCGTGGCGGCGTTCCATGGGTCGCCTAGCGCCGCGTTCACCGCCCCCTGTCCGTACGTGTTCACCAGTTTTGCCTGATCCTCAAGCACCTTCATCGTCTTAAACTGCATGAATGAGATAAAAGACTTCTGAAGCCTGCGATGCCAGCGGCGGCGCAGCATCTCGCCTTCACGCAGCTTGCACTCCGTCGAATTAGATTTCTGCTGGTACGAGCGGAACAACTGGAAGTGGCGCAGACGTGACCGGTGCACGTAGTGCATAATTCGTCGATCAATGAGTGTGATAGGCTCATTGCGCCGCACCTCCTCAATCATGGGCGTGCGGCCGTAGAAGTGGCTTATGCCGCCGTGACTACCCTTCCATTTGCTGTACTTCATTGTTCCCATCGCCTTGCGGTGGTACATCATGTATCCACCCCGACATAACAATGTGCCGCAGAACATGGCGATGACGTCTTGCTACTACTATTCCCAGTCCACTGCTGCTGCTGCTTTAGCCACCAGTACATGCACACAAAGGGAGCATAGAGAAGCGCACAGGTGGGGGAAAAAAAGTGGGGGGGGAAACGGGACAAATGCGGCGATTTTCTGTGCGGAGCGAAACAAAACGAAAAAAAAAACTCATGATGAGGAAGAGCCGCCTCTGTAGTGTGGAGTTTGTGTGCCTTTCGCTTGAAATCCTTCCGCTTCATTCTTTTTTTTTTTCTTTCTTTTTTACCTCTGGTGCTGCGTTACGAGCGAGTGAGCTCCAAAACGGCGGCCACGTAGTACAGCGTTGTGGCATCATCACTCCGCCGCGCCGCACATTCGTCTCCGTCAATGTCCTCCTGCTCCTCTGCTTCCTCGCCCCTTGTGTGCGGCGGCACCGCTGCAAGCACCAACGCGTAGTAGCTCATCGTGGAACTCCAGTGGTTGCCACAGAGCCAATGCACCTCCCCTTCCTTCTTGCTTCCCTCTTGTGCGGCGGTGGCCAGCAGCTGCGCATAAGCGAGAAGCGGGTCCTCTCCCGGACCTGCGCCCACCCCGGGCGCCCGATCACTTTCCGCCAGCTCACTCTTCAACGCTACCTGCTCCGCCTTTACCCGCTGCCGGTACGCAGCACTAGCGTGCAGCAGCGCCAGCACCTGATCCGCCTCCCCCACCAGCGCCCCAAAGCGGCAGTGGCGGCACGCCAAGTCAATCAGCTCCTCCTGGACCAGCTTCGCTTGGCCCGGCGGTGGTACCTCGTAGCAGCGCGGATCCAGATCGCACGGCAACGGGAAGAAATACGGCAGCGGCTCCTCTACGGAGTGCGCGGTGCCTCCAACCTCCATTGGCGTGACAGTGGGCGCAGCTTGCAGCGAAAAGGGGCGTGCTCGCCCACCACTAACGCGGATTGAACGCAGAAACGGCGGCAGTCCAAAGAACTCGGCAGCCTCCAGCAGAGAGACCAACGCCTCGCTCCGAAAGCGCCGTTGCAGGACGTACGAGCCACCGGAAACACGTAAAGCCGGAGCAAATGGGGCGCCCCATGATTCGCTGCAGGGACTATCATCATTGACCTGGTCCACCAAACCCTTAATGAGAGACTGCTCCCGCTGGTGCCAGGAGCTCATCCCAGGCAGTGGCTCGACAGTGTTGGACGCATCCATCGAGGGACCGAGGAGGGCAACCGCCACATCACGCTTCGTCTTGCAGAGGCGAAGTTCTGAAATAATGTGCACCTGGCACTCCCGCAGCTGCCAAAGACGCTTAAGGCGTTGTAAACGGTCCTGTAAGGCCCATGGGGTGGTTGGAGGTACCAAAACTTCAGCGCTGTTGCTTGTACTCATGTTGCCATTGCTCGTCATGGCAGCGTATTTAAGGACAGACGTCTTCATCGGCACCGCCGCTTCAGAGAGCTGAACCAATTTCCGCACAATTTCCCATTTTTTGTGGAGCGAATCACTCGGTGACACGGGCTTACTATCACCACCGTATGTAGATTGCAGGATGAAGTTGGCATCGACGACAGCCTGAATGGCTGTCCGTAACCGATCCACCGACAACGCTGAAAACGGGTATCGCGGGTGAGGGGATGCGAACAGCAATGTAGGCTCCGCTTCCACAAGCGTCCCAATGTTTGCCAATGCCTGCACCAGTGTAGTGTGCCGGCAGACTCCCTTCCAGAAGCTCACATCTGGTGCCGTTGGTTGCAAATGCAAACGACAATCCTGCCGCTGGGATAATGACCCTGGCTTGTCTGCGGCAGTCCTGCCACGCCTTCCAGCCACTTTTCTGCACACAAGCACAACACCGTCATCGTCACCGTCGGCGGAGGCCTGTCGGAGGGCTTCGGCTATGGATGACGACGTATCGACCGGCACCTTCTTGGTGACCCTCTTCGCAGGTGCCACCGCGGGCCGCCGCCCACGCGCCATTTGATTTTGCCTACGACGCCGTATCCCTCCAATAACGCGGGAGGGGGAGAGAGACAGAAATCGAGTAAATAATTAGCAAGACAAATGTGGCATACCAACGGCGAGAGGAAGAGAAGGTGGAGGTGGTGATTGGTAGGCAAAAGGAACATGAATCAGGCGCCTCATAAGTGGCACCGCGCATAGATTAAGGTGCCAACTAGGAAAAGTAAAGAACGAGAGCTAACAAGAGGTGCGGCAACGCTCCCTCAGCTGTTTGGTTCTTCCTCCACTTACTTACTCTTTTCTCGATTTTCGACTTCTGCAGAAATGCTCTCCATCTCGCGCCCACAGCTCTCTTCACCTGTTCGCCGCCGCATGTTGCCATCACAGTTCCGAGCGTCGCCCACATGCCCATGATGTGGTTCCTGCCCACCGCACTGGAGGCGGTGTCGCGCCCCGTCCGCAAAGCCCATCCCAGCGAAGACGTCGCGATACTCTCTCTGGCGTGGCTCCCTCGGCCGCTCACACCGGTGTGGGTGGGTCACCCTCGAATGCGGCACAGCGAGTTGCTGCAGTTGTGGTTGTTGTTGTTGTTGTTGTTGTTGCTCCTGCGCGTCCACCGCCGCTACAGCTGCCGACACCCTCCGAATTCTACCGCTCTCCTTCACCTCTTTTCTTCCCTCCTCATTCTCCCCCATGTGTTGGCGAGGCGTTTCCACCGTGGCACCCTGCTGCCTCAGCAGATACCGCTTTTGCACCGCCTGTCGGCGCTGCTCGCGCTGGCGGTGCTCCTCCGCCACAATCGGCCGCAGACGCCGCCGCAGACGCTGCACCGTCAGCGGCGTCAGTCGCATCTCCACCACCACCTGCATGAGTTCTTCCGCGTCGAACAAGCGACGCACAGAGTGGTTAAGGCACATTACAACATCGCCCGCGTCGTCACACTGCAGCAGGTTGTGTTGCCGAAGCTTCAGCACGGCCAACACGACCTCCAGCAGCACACACGATGGGCTACCGGGCTGGGCGCAGCCGGCGAAGAGGCAGTCCCATACGCGCAGCACCGTCTCAACAGGAAAGACGGTGACAAACAGCACCATCACCCACGCCGACACGAGTGTACCCGCTTCGAACCGCACCTTGGAGAAGTGCAGCGCAAGTCGTGGCAGACGCTCCTGCACAAGCTCCTGCAGCACAAGTTGGTCCACCCTTGTGCCGATCAGCGACTCCGAGTACAAGTCGTTTGGCAGCAGGTTCTCTAGCAGATGGCACATGAGCCAAAACGTGCTCTCCTCGTCATCGAGCACCAGCAAGATGAAGGCAACGAGGTAGTTGAAGGACTGACAATAATTTAGCAGCGGGTTGCGCCAGCAAAGGGCGTGCAGAACATTGCGTGCCTTGCGCATCCCTACCCCACCCTGCGCGAAATAGGGATGACCGGGAAAGGTGCGGCGTAGGTCCTTCTCAATGGCGTCTGCGTGCTCACCCCGCATGTACCGGTGTCGCTCCAATAAGGCCCGACAGAACCCCTGGTTTTCGTCCATCCGCATGGCAACACCCGAGAGTGTCAACCAAATCACACCGCGCAGGTGACAAGGAGCGCCATAACGCCACAACGACTGCCGCATGAACTCTGTCGCCTCCACTGTTGCGTTCGAGAGCAACGGAAGGCCCCTCGAGTAAGAGTGCCAGTGTTTCTCGCAGCGCAGCGCAGTGGCCTGCAGCAGCGGCATTGCCTCTTGTTCCGCCGCACGCAGTTCGGGGTCAACGCTCAACGGGAAACCGAGCCGCTCCGCCGATGCCCAGTCCTCATCACTGAAGACCTCTTTCAACGGCTTCCATTCAATATTATTCCCATCAGCATCTTCAACTGCAGCAGCAGCAGCAGCAGATACAATGCAGCGCGGCGTGTCTTCAGCGAATGGCGAGCCCATCTGCGAGACCACACCCGCCGTAATTGTGCCACCGAGCGGCGTTGCGTCTACTGTGAGCACGTGCAGGGTCCTGTCCCGCGCAGTCACGTCTTCCTCAAGGTCACCACTGTCACCATCGGCACCTTCGGGACTGCCGCTGTCATCCCATGGACAATGTTTCGAGCGCCGCAGCATGCAGGTGGTAGGAGAGGCGGCACAGGACTCCTACAACATGTGTGGGCACGAGTGCCCGCCCCTCACGCGTATACCCTCTCCCACAGAAACAAAAGCAAACACAAGAGAACGAAAACAAGAGCAAACTCATATAAATAACAACGAAGGTTAAATCCTCACCAAGAAACAGAAACAGAAGGAGAAAAGGGGTGGGGTCAGAAGAAAAATCACAGGCAGGCACTCCCGACGCATTCTGGCAAGGAGAAAAAAATCATGCACCACGAGCACGAAGAGGAGGAAGAGGACGTGGAGGGTGTCTTGGCGAGCACAAGAGCCAAACAAAATAAAGAAAGAGAGCTGTTTGAGGTTTCTTTTCTTTTTTTTTTGTGTGTTCTTTTGGTTCTCCATGTGATTGTGCGCACCGTGGTACGACTCCCCCACCGCCCACACCCCCGAGAACCAGTAAAACCCCTGGCGCACCTCGCGCGACGCAAGGGTGCTCAGTTGAGCTCGTGCCGCTTCATCAACTCACAGCCATTCATGTGGATGGCGTACTCATGCAGCACCCAGCATGGGCCGTTGCCAGCCTTCCCCTCACTCGAGGAAGCGGCATCATCACCTGGACCATCCCGCAGTGAGGCGTCATCGCTCAACACGGTCTTCCTTGCGGGGAGCACGACCCACACAAGCCGCCCATTCTCCGAGAAGAAGCAGTACCTCCCCCCGCGTCCCTTTTTGCTCTCCACACACAAATTGGGTGCCGTTGACGCTGTTTCTGAAGACTTGCTGACGGTGGCCTGCGCAAAGCTGCGCGTCTCAGTGCCAGGATACGGCGCGATCAACTCATCGCCGCCGCTGGATGTACAACGAAAAATGTGCAGCGTGCCTCGGCTGCTCAGCGCGGCGAGCTGCAGCCCCGACAAGTCTGTCGATGCGTCAAAGGAGAGTGCCAGCATCCGCGCCGGCGTCAGGCCGCGGCGGAAAACATACAACAGCCGCGCAGTCGCGGGTTCAAAGACTTTCACCGTTGTGCCTCGCACGGAGGCGGTGGCGAGTCGCGTGCCGTCGCGTGTCATGGCGAGACACACGACGGCGCAGTTGTGTGCCTTCACGATCGCCATCCGCTCCACTACACCGCACCGGTTGCAGCTGAACGTGTCCGGCGTGCTGCCGCCCTGCCCATCGTGGTCCATCTGCTCTTCGGTGACGTGCGCGACCCACACGTCGCCGAGGCCACTGTCGGACTGCGGGAACGCGAAATAACTGACGGCGTCGCCGCGGGGGTTCGTCGTGGGGTCCGACAGCACCAGCAGCCCGTCGGGGTTGCGCGGCGACGTCGTGCGCAGCTCCGCGAGGTGCCGAAGTGTCTTCAGGTCGAAGACGTGCACAAACTCTGCCAAGGCGACAATAAGTCGCTTGCTGTTTAGCCGCACTCCAACCACCGCCGTGTCAAAGTGCAACTCAGCGATCGGCTGCCGTGCCAACGCGTCGTACAGACAGAGAACACGCGCAGTGGACGCGGAGACCCCACACGTCGCTATTCCCTCCGCCCCCATCTCCGCTGTACTCGTGGCTGCGGCAGCAGCAGCAGCAGTTGTTCTTGACGCCGTCGTGCCGCTGTCGAGTGCAAAGGCAATTAGAGGCGTGGTGCCAAGCACAGCGACAACCCCGACGGATCCTCCCACCGCGCGGCAGCCACGCAAGGCCGATGCGTCTTCAGCACTTGGAATTAATTTTTGTATCGGCTCCGTCGCACTAAGGCGGTACGCCTTGAGACCGTCGGCGCAGCCAAGTACCAGGAAGCTTCCACCAACACTTGCGGCAACAGTGTGGACTTCACTCATCTTCACTTTCTTCCACTATTGCGCAATTCCCGTGTATATGCGTGTTGGCGAGTCGCCTCTGCTCAGACCTTGCCACAGCTACCATAAACAGAGAATAAAAAATATTCAAATGAAATGGAGAAAAGCCACTGCATTAATAGCTCACGCAGTTCAGCAGAAAAGGGAAGACGGCATCAACGTCAATGGGGTGTTTTAAAAACCGCATAAGCAAACAGGACGAAGAAAGTCAGGCACTTTCGTGTTCCACTCACCCCCTCCGCCCCACTCTTTTCCTTTTGGTCCTCATTTGCAACCCGTGTTTCTTGCATAGTTCCTGGTGTTAGTGTTGTTGCGTCTCCTCACCTCCCGTCGCACTCTCCATCCCCATCCGTCCTCCTCCCCTCAGCGCCAAGGCGCGCCTCTCGCCGAGGTGCTGCCGACTCAGTCACCGATGTCGAGGGAGGTACCAACTCCCCCGAACAACGGCAGGCAGCCAGCCGCGAAGCACGCAATTCCCTCTGCCGCATTATTTTCGTTCATCCTTCACTTCACCGCTGCAGCGCACCCTCACGAATCACCGCTCCCCCCACCCCTATCATGCGTGTATGTGCGTGCGTGCGATTGAGCCACAGATCATCGCCACGCCATCAGAGCAAGCAGATCATCATCAGCAGCGCCTCCACCACACACAGACACAAAGAAAGAAAAACAGCCAACACACACACACACACAAAGCCACAAAAAAGAGCGGCGGCACATCACTTATACACGGGGAAAACGAAACAATACGGGTGAGTGTATGAAAAACAACAAACAGCCATCATTGAAGCGTAGAGAAATAGTCAAAAATGGGGAGGAGGAACTGATACACGCAGCGAAAAAAAAACACCGGCCTTTTCCCCATCTCTTTGTTCAGCTCCTTCGTTTCCGTTTTATGGGCAAGTATTGAGCCCCCCACTTAAGCACGTCAAGTTACAATAGTAATAAAACTCGTCCGAATCCAGCTCATCCCGCCCACACCTGCTAGCATTATGCATACGGGTGGATAGGACTCCTCTCTCTGTGTGTGTGTGTGGGTGTGGGTGTGGGTGTTTCTCGCAACTGAAGCAGCAGACCCGCACACCACACGCACACTACAACTGCGGCGGATCCTCAAACAGCAGGTTCGCCGCACGCTCGAGGCTACCCTTCGTCTTAAAGAAGGCCACCCTGCACTGATCTCTTGTGAAGCCAAGCTGCATCAGTTGTTCAATCTTCCCCTCCTCCTCCTCCGTCGGCACACGCTCCAAGTAGCGCTGCGTCTCACTTTGTCCACTGTCGCCCGCGTCCTCCGTGGCTTTGCTGTTGTCGCTGCCACCTCCACTCAGGAGGTACTGCGCCATGAGGGAGCCAACGGCCTCCTCCATCTCTTCATCATCCTCAAATGCACCTTCTTCATCAAGAAATGCTGCCTGCATCTCCTGCTGCTGCTGCAGAGTTGTGACAAGATCTTCGTTGTTCACCAGCTCGAGAAACTCCTGATGATTAGCCGTGATGAGCTCGAAGAGTCGCGGGTCGTTTTCCTGAACCTGCCGCATGATCTCCGCTGGGTTGGTCAGGAACTGCTGCCGCATTTCCACAAGGTTCGGGACTGTCTCAAGGAGATGACTAAGCAACTCCATTGGGCCTTCATCCATCGCGTCTTCTTCATCCTCCTCCTCTGTTTCTTCATCGTTGTCGTTGTCGTTGTTTGACACTATAGGCTCAGCACCCCCCACGCCACTCATTGCAGCAGTGGTGGCAGACGCTANCATCGTTGTCGTTGTCGTTGTTTGACACTATAGGCTCAGCACCCCCCACGCCACTCATTGCAGCAGTGGTGGCAGACGCTACGGGTGTCACCGACGTTGTCGGTGCCGTTGAAACTTCAGTTGTCTGCACCTCTTCCCGAGGCTGCTGTTCTCCCGTCTCAACTTCTTCCTCCCTATCGCGCTTCGACACCACAGTAATCACATCCCCGTCCTTAAGCCCGCTATCACGAAGAAGCACCTTCTCATTGCTAAGGTCAACGGAGCCGTGCGTCATGCGAAAACCGTACACAGGCAAGCGGAAGTTGATTGAAATGGCGGCGCGCACGTTGCCCAACGTCGCGGATGGGTTGTGTATCATGAGCTCTTTCGTGCCGCTAGTATCGACATTCAGAGAGCACTTCACCATAAGCTTCATTGTGGCTTTTCCGCACCTGTCTGCGTGTCGTTGCTTCCTCTGCAGAAAGAAAACGAATGGAGGAGGGAGGGATAAGACGTGTGGGGGTGGATGGAATACGCCAATCGATAAAAAGGACGCGCCTCTCAGAGAGCAAGATTCACCTTTCATTCCACAATTCCTTCTCACACACACACACACACACACACACACACTCCTTCCCACACACCGAATTTAGGACACAGAAATGGCATCAGTAGCAACAACACCGATGAAAGAAACAGGGACTCAGGAATGGCGCAGAAAATCCGTGGGCTTTGTACCAAAAGGGCAGTTCGCCGTGCCAGGTGGCGCCCACACAGCACTAGAGAGTTGTGTGCCAGCCGCCCACACTGGCGTACCACGGTGTATCCGCTGCAACTCCTCCATCGCCCACGAGGGATTGGTGAGTGGGGCGCAATTCCGCATGAGCCACACCGCCGTTGAAACGTTGTTATCTGACTCCTCCCCGTCGTCCTCGCTGTCACTCTTGGCGGTGTGCACCGCCTCTGTCCGCTCGCCACTCACTGCTTCCGGCCGAGACCAGCGCTGCACCGCCCGTTGCTGCTTCTGCTGCTCCTCGCAAGTTTCTAGCAGCTGCTGCAACAGCGCCGTTCGTGCACAAAACTTGGAAGAAACATTCTCCGACATCACTATGCACCCGCGAGGAAGCAAGAGCTTTTTGTTTTGCCACAGCACCCACTTTGGAGAAAAGGGAGAGAAGACGCAAGGTATAGCAATACACAAACCCAGACACCGTCATCAGCTGGTTGGTGAGCCGTGTGGCATACACGCACCCACAAACACACAAAAAAAGGCTTTTTTTTTCTTTCGATGTGGACTGTGTTGGAGAGGAGCAACTGAACAAAAAAGACAGAAAAGAGAAACTGGTTGAAGCTCTTCGTGGGCATTTCTCACCGCCCACACTGCTGTGTGTGCTGACGGGCAAGCAGTCACGAAAAGCCGACCATCGCAAACAGATGATGGGAACAATTGGGTGTAAACGGGTATTCATTCCTCTTTGTGCTTTTCTTCCGGGTGGTGGAAGGGGTTTGTATGAAGAAAACCCTCTTGTGGGCAAGCCACACATGTCTTTGTAACAAGGCCACGCCGTTGTAAAAGTAGTGTGTGTGTGTGTGTGTGTGCGTATGTGCGTATGTGTATTCAGGGAGGAGAGGAAGAGGGGTGGAAAGAAAACCAATAAATCACCCGCTTTACTGACCGGTGTCTCCCGCATAAAATACACACGCATTCAAGCGTTCCACTACCAATCAGAAATATGCAATATCGCATACGCAAAGTCCCCTCAAAAAATTGTTTCCAGTATGTTGCTACAGCAGCAGCATCTGCGGCGATACTGCGATACTGCCTTGCTGTTGCTGGAAGGAGTGATTACCCTTCATTTCCACATCAATCATGAACGAAATATAAAATACGTGAGACTTCCCCACGGAAATCAGCCATGTGGCTGTCTCAGTGCTGCATCATCCCCACTACTATTTCCTAACGACCCAGGATTCTACCCGAGTCCCATTGGGTGGAAATAAAAAGGGAAACACAGCGATGGTATATATATATATATAAATATACATATATATATATATATATAACAGCAAGTCATCTCATCCATTTCACTAGTGCAGAGTCTGCATCATTATGCTCCCACATGGTGGAACCTACGTCGCCGTGAAACGCCGACAGGGCCGCCACGGTTGTTGTTGTTGTTGTTTTTGATAATGATGACGAAGCTCCACCCTCAGATCGTCGCCAAGGCGCGGTGAATTCAGTATCGGCCGCGATGATATTGCCCGGCACCTTGTCGTGAGCTGCAGCCTGGGCGATGCCACAGCAACACTCGACTCGCCCCCTCTATTTGTGCCACCACTGGAAGTCGAACGCTCAGCTGTCACACGAGGTGTTGAGCCACCGCGGAGTTGAGTTCCACCCGACGACACACTCGCTAACAGCGAGCCACGCGAGGAACACGAGGTGGCATACATCGCAGATCGCTCCCATGGCGCGTCGACTTTTTCACGCACCCAAGGTACCGTCTTGCGAGGCCTCACAAAACGAGTGGAAGAAATCAACTCGTTCTCAGCCCGCGCAGTCACAACGGACGATTTCCCATCCAGCCTTTTAATGCCGCTGCTGTTGCTGCTCCTGCTGCTAATGCTGATGAAGTTGTTTTTGTCGACATTGTCGTTGTTATTGATGTTGCTGTTGCTGATGCTCTTGTCTGTGTTCTCGTATGTACCTGACTGTTGTGTTGCCAAGCCGAATTGCTCGTTGAACCACTGCGAGTCGTCGTCCCACTGCACTAAGGGACGCAGCTTCGAAATGAGCGGCACGCTCGGCAACTCCACCCCAAGCGCCGCAAGATCCACGCCGTGCCGAGATATGCCGAGGTCGCTGTCACGCAGAATGACACTGTCCCCCATCCCCGACGCCATTATTGACTCCTCATCGAAGTGCACACACCGGCAATGACTTTCGCTTTTTCTTCTTGGTGGATCTCCTCCGCTCCCTCCTCCATCTTCTCTCACGTCCACTAGTGTTTTTGTTGTCCCATCATCAGCGTCCCCTGCAGGCGGGGACCGGCACGCGTGCGGCTGCTTGAGAATGCCCTTCTGCGGTGGCGCCGCCCGCCACGGGTGCTCAGGGTCCGTCACGGCGTCAGCCAGCGCACACGATACAGAAGGCTGCGTCCGCCTCCCAGTGCGCGGCGTGGCGGCACCTGATGCCTGCGTGGGGAGCAACACATGCGAGGATGAACGCAGCAGCCTGCGGCGCACAGTCGCTGTTGGCGTCGGTGTCACACTGCGGTGGCGGGAATGCATGTTTTTTTTTGACGTATTTGTGTGTGTGTGTGTGTGGGAGGGAAGGTGGGAGTTCACAAGGAGCTCTTACCAATGCCACCGCCGGAATCCCAAAACGATGTGAGTCGTGTGTCGCTCGGCCCGCACACAGCGGAGAGCCCCCGGTGGATAGGCTCACACACACACACGCACACAGACACGAGCAGCAGAAGCGGCAGCGGTGAGCTGTCTATCCTGCTGTCGGCGAGGCACCGGCCAGCTGCTGTTGAACCACCGCACGCCCTTGTGTGGCGGTGACTGTGTGGGACTCACACCACCGCCACGCGACTGAAGCTTGGACTTCCCCCAGGTGACGCCCTTCTCGTGGAGTAGAGCAGAGAGGGCAGCAGCCACGACCCCCTCCACGCTTCACGTTCTCTTTGTCTTGTATTTCTCTTGTTTTCTGTAGCTGTGCACATGCGATACAGAGACGACATACAAAACAAGAGGCGAAAAAAAGAACAGAAACGGAAACGGCATGATGGCGATACAAATGCGCACTCCAACACACAGTGGAGTAAAAAAGTAGCAGGGAAACAAGCAGCACAAGCGCCACTGGTGTTGAGTAAGGCTTGCTGGCGGCAACACATCCGTGAGAAAAAGCGCGATGATGTTGTCATCCTGCCCAATGCAGCACAATATGAAGGGAGAGAGTTTGGGAAGTGCGATGCACCCACCGTTTCTGGAGATGTATTTTTGCTGCCCCTCCAGTTCCACCACTTTTCAGTTTTTCGTTTCATTTTCTTGTTTTGCCTTTTCCTGTTCAAATTCTTCCTTTCGTCCTCCGGCCCTTGCGTTCCTACTTTTCTCCTTGGTCGTGCTTCGCTTTAACCTCCCTCTAGCTGTCCGTTCTTTCCCGTCGTACATCCCTCCACCTCGTCCTCCTCAAGCTCGCTTTCACCTATTAGTTCGGTCCGTGCTGTAAGAACAAAGCATTGCACAGAAAAAAAAAAAAAGAACAGAATCGGTCATGGACCAAATAACCTCCTCCTCTTCACTGTCTTAGTCCACCTTGATGCTACCGTAAATCTTTCGCACGAACAGGATACCAGCTGTGAGCCCGATGGCGCCTGCAGCAATGCCATACGCGTACGACAGAAGCCCCATGTACAGAAAGTACAGCAGTGACGAGGCAACAGAGCTGATTGCCAGCTGCGTCGCGTAAAAGTAGACAGAGTACGCCATGACGTGCAGGCCGAGGCCGCCCGGTATGATGAAGCTGCTCCACCACCACTGGTGGTTCTCGTAGCACAGGACGTAGTACAGGTGGAACACCGTCACGAGCGCCGCAATGATGACCCAAATGACAAACACCAGCCCAAGAAAGCCAAAGACGTAGTACACCTGACCCGCCCACAACGCCTGCAACACAAAGTTAAACTCTAAAACGACTGTGCAGAGCGGGAAAATGGCGGGGACGACATACAGAAACGAGGGGCTGTTCATCCACGACTGCGGCGGAATCTCGCGTGCCAAGCGACCCACACGCACCGGGTTCTCAGGCGGATCCTGCCGGAACGCGAAGGAGGCGCCCAGAACCGTCAGCGGCAAGCTGATGAGCAGCCACAGAGAGAGAATGAGCACCAACAGTGAAAAAGGCACAGCGTCGGTGGAGCCGTGGGCCAGGTTGATAATATTCGCGAAAGTATATATACCGAAAATGGTGCCTGGGAAGGCACAGCCGCAGAAGAACACATGCTTCCACTCACGTCGGTTGAAGTACTTGAGCAGAAACCCACACACATACCCCGCCACGATGGACATGAACACAAAGAGGAGAATAATGGCAGTCAACAGGGCGCCGCGGCGTGCGGGGGATAGAAAGCCAAGCAACGCAAAGACCAGCACACCGCCAAACATCGCCAGAACTTGGTAGCCATTGCCTGTCAAAGCGGCAAGCAGGGGTGCGCTATACGGCGTGCGAAACACATCCGCGTGAATGAGTTTCCAGCCAGTTTCCTCTTGGTTTTCCTCCGGATCAGGGGAATTATAGCGGTTGAAGTCCTTGTGCAGGGCTCGCATTAATATCGTAGTGACGGAGGCGGCACACAGAAGCACGATCACCAAGCTGCTGCAGACATAGAGCCAGTGGAAGGCGGCACTAGAATCGGCGAGCGAGCTGTGCAGGTATGCATCCCAGCGTGTGGCCCAAATGATGTCAGACTCTATCCATGTAATACTGTACGTCCAGTAAACTGTTGCCCCTTTCCGCACATCATCGGTGGTGAGAACATCATATGACCCTGTTCGGAAATCCAGCTTATCGTTACAGCTGTTGCCATCCTCGTCGTGCTTGATGCTATACGGTGTGGCCTGGAGGCCAACAACCATGAACATATCTCCATTCCCTGGCGCGGCATTGTATTTGATGGTAAAATCTAGGTGGTTGTTGATGAGCGTCTTGCCAGAGCACGCGCGCGGCACACCGAGGGCGTATCCGCGATAGTAGTTGTACTGCATATCTTTCCTCACAGAGCTGCAACTAGAGAACAGCGGCGTTTGCGCGTCACCAAACACGGGGAGATTGTCGATGTTCATAAAGCCACGGTATCCATCCTCGATGTAAGTCTCCAGCATTTTAATATTCTTCTTGATTTCCTTGTTGTTATCTGCTACATTACAGCCGGGGAGCTTGACGCAAGTCCAGTTTTCCCTCATCTCTGCCACGTAAAGGGAATTCTGCATGCGGTCGCCCCAAATCACTTCACCGATCGCCTCCGCCTTTGTCGAAATAGTTGACGGCGCACAGAACGGGAGCTTGTAGTACTCCTGTGGGAACAACTCCCGCAGGGAGCGGACGGAGTTCACCATGAAAGGCACCCTCTCACCCTTGGCGTAGTACCGCGGCTGCACGCCGGGGATGTAAAAGGCGTTGGCACCTGTTGGCGCCGACGCGAGCGCGGCAAAAAGAGCGGCAAGCACACACAGCAACAGGCGTGGAATTGGCGCAAAGCAGCGCGTGCAGACGTCTGAAGTTGGCTTCATCTCCTTCGATATTCTTCTTTTTTTTAAACTTCAGCCCCCCACCAGCAACACCGCCGATGCGATACACAGAGAGACGGGAGGAGGAGGAGGCAGCAGGTGTCGGCAGCGATAGGGCACACATGCAGTGCGTGAAGCAAACCCCTTCCAAGAAAGGAGTTTTTTTTTTCTAAAAAAAGAAAAAAGCAACACAGAATATATTGACGCAACAAAAGGAAGGAGAAACTTTCTTGTAAAGGGGGAAAAAAAAAGGTTCCAACCTTCATCTTCACCTACCGCCGCCGCTTACTAGCGCTACCCGGCCCCATCAGCACCGCCTCCATGCCGTGCGACGGCGAGCTGCAGCCATTCGTAAACAACCGTCCGTCCACATCAACGGTGACTGTCTCCACCGCAGCACTCAGCATTGTCATAGCCTCACCACCACCACTGTTGTTATTGTTGTTGCTGTTGCTATTGTTACTGTTGTTGCTAGGAGTCACCGTGGTCGCCACAGGGGAGAAGAAAATGTCCTGCAGCTCTCGGCGCTTACACAACAACGTGGTCGTGCTATACAGGATACCAAAGCCGGCGAGCACTGTCACCCACCACGCAAAGCCACCACCCCACAGCCGACGCTCCACAACGCAGCAGAGCACAAAGTAAACGGCGTACAATGTGAAGGCAAAGTCAAGCGCGAACTTGCGGCGCTGGATCGTTAGCGCTAGTGGATACGACAGGCCGAGGGCAGCCAGTACGTGCATGAAAAAGAAGCGTCGCGCCGAACCGTCCGTTACATCCGTCACCCGCACGGCGAAGAGCGAGCGGAGCGGAACATGAAAGCAGCGGCTCAACACCACGGCCAGCGGCAGCGTGGAGTTATCGGAGAAAACAAGCGCCAGGAGGCCAAGTACCACACGCGCCATGCCGAGGAAGAGAAAGAAGGCACTCACAACGTGTATAATCTGCACGAGCACAAAGTGCGGATCATTAAGCGAGGCGCCTAGCGGGACAGGCATGTTGTTTTCTTTTTGTGTGTGCGTGTTGTGCTACCTTGGGGGCTCGGTTACGCAACCCGCGCCCGTGAGGAATGTGAGTGCTGCTGTGTGATGCCAGTTCACAGCTTACCTACGGTTTTTCTTTTCGTTGTTGTACCTCACTCCTTCGCTGGCACCGCCACACCACTTCTCTCTAGAGAATCCCAGAGGGCAACGGCAACCAAGACTAAGGAAGGAAAAAAAAAGGAAAAGAAAAAAACAGCAGCACAAAATAATTTAATGAATCTGGGGAGTCATAAGAAGACCATGACGCACTGTAGAAGTGCAAGAACGTTTCAAACGTGTCATATTTTCTTTTTGTTTGTTCTCCCATCGGAGGAAAAAAATCTGCAGTGTACGGTTAAGATCCTTTCCCTCCTCCTGCCTCCACATCCCTTTCTCCCTCTCCCTCTCTCGCCCCCCAACCCCCTCACTTCAGCCTTCTCTTCACTCAAGCAGCGTCGCCTGGGCAACGTGTGACAGCGAGTGCCTCGCCAGCAGCAGCTCGTCCACGGCGCTCTGCACGGCCGCCGGCATCGGCCTCAGCACGCCCCAGTGCCACCTCAGAGAAAGGCGCAGTTCAACCAGTGTGGTGAGAAACTCTGGCGCACGCATCACAACAGGCAGGAAGCCGTCCACCAGAGCCACGTTCGGCACATCGTCTGCTACAGTCACCATACGTGGCTCGTCACACAGCGCACTGGCCAACAGGAGACCACACGGCGGCAGAAAAGTCCCCAAGGCGGGTGACTTCTCCGCATCACCGCCATGCCGTGTAGCCCCATCAAAGGCACAAAAACAGGGGAGAGTGCAGTAGCAACAGGACGAGCAAGTTGAAGGCATTGAAGTGCCCGAGGACTCAGCCAAAGCCTGGGGCACAACAACGCGCTCTGTTCGCTGCTGGTCCTTTGATTCCACTGTAATCAGCCGAAGCACGTTGTCAACAGAAGCCTTCCGTTGCACCAGTACTTTTGGGAACGTGGCAAAGGCAATGGCAAGGCGCAAACGTGCATGCTCGCTCAGCGTCATCTCTTTCTGCAGTGTACCCCACGTATTATCATCTACACTCACATGCGAAGCCGCCGCAAACGCCGCCAGCGCGCTCGACGGCGGTACTTTTTCCTTCAGTTGGGTCGTGAGCTGCTCCAGTCGCGCTGCAATGGTACTGGCAAACCGCCGCGCCCCGGGTGGCAGCGCGCGGGCCACAAACTCCAGCACATCACCCCCGGAGCACTCCTGATCTTCATCCTCATTCACCGAGGACAGCACCAGAGCAGCCACGCGAATGCAGAGATGTTGGCAGTTCAGTAAAGAACCTACAAGGAGGAGTTTGGCTAGTTGCAGTGGGAGAGCACCACTTGTTGTGTGAGGCAACCCTTTCCGCACATCAAGTGGCGGCAGACACGTCGCAAAGAATGCCGCAACCACACCTACTGTAGTTACTTCCACATCATTATCCTTCAATCCCGGCACCGTGGCACCTGCGACGGTGAGCCCCATGGTGCTCAGTAGATTCCGAACACCGGCAGGCAACGTGAGTGCAGAGGCTGAAGTTGCTGTTCCAAGCGCATGCTCCACCGCGTCGAAGAGCAGGCGCAGCTCCGTGGAATTCAAATGTGACGCGCCTACACGGAGAAGGCTCGCTGCACCTGCACATTCCAAAAACTCTGAAGGTGATTGCAAAAGTGGTGGCGGCGATAGCACGTGCTTTTGCTCCATCAACAACAACCGCAGCGCCGTCAAAGTCTTCTCTTCGGTGACGAGATGCGCGGCCCCCTCTGTACGCAGGGCCGGGTGTGTCTGCACCAACTGCGCAACCGCCTGGAACGCGGACTTGCGCTGTAACTGCTTGTAAAGCTCGGCAATTGCTCTGTTCCGCGCTTCTTCCGCATTGGCACGGTCCTCACCCTTTCCTGCCATGCGCAACCCGCTCTCATCCTCCATTTCAACGAGTGATACAAACACCGTCTGCGTCCCCGTCACACCACCGCGCTCCTTCAGCGAGAGACGAAGCGGCACGAAGGGGGCACGCAATGTAGTGTAAAGCGTCATGATCGAAAGCTTCCCACGCGGCGTAAAGTCACGAAGGGCGGCATCAAAGAGATCACTCTGACGTTGTCTTATCATTGTCTTCGCCTCACCTACTCCCCGTTGTGTAGAACTCGTGGTGCCGACGATATACTCGTAGTGCATTGCCGCTCGCGTAACGGCCTCATGGCCCTCCGCGCCCATCCCGCGCGCAAAATACGGGGTGCCAAGCACAGGCTGCTCTACAAGGTAGCGGCGGTGCGGCGGCCGCCCGTGCACCTCAAAGCGAAACGCCATGGACGGTGGCGGCGGCAGTCCGGCGGCGGCACACTTCTGGGGCAACTTACTTTTCACGTTGGCGAAGAGCGGTAACGCCTCCACAACGTCGAGTCCGACATCCTCCACATCCACGCCACTACGTGGCGCTCTCCCTTGAGTGAAGAGGGCATCGAACACGACCTGCTCCTCCAGCTGCTTGATGAACCCACGGCAAGCTGTCACGTAGCTGCCCCACACAAACGGCTTGCGGCATGCTGCACGATCCGGCGGGCTCGGCGCTCGGGGCTTTTCCATGCGCACCTCCGGTAGACTCTTCAATCCCTGCGGAGACTTGGTGTTGCCGGGCTTCAACGGATCTCCAGGTCTCGGAGCGTAGCGGCCCCTTGACTGCGCCACGGCGGCGTACTCCGCCTGTTTCGCCCCTGTGTAGACAGGCACCCCAAGCTCCCCGAGCGTGAGGACAGCATGCATGCAGCACAGTGTAAAGGCGTCTTTTTTTGAAGAAGCACATGCCACCGCATAGCGTCGGCCGAACTGTTGCGGAAGGGGAATTTCCATGATAGCTCGATGAACAAACCCGTAGGTGGGGCTGCTGACGTTGTATTGCCGCATGATGCGGGACACATCCACACCCTTCCTCTTACAGTAATTGTCAAGGATACGAGGAGCATGCCGAAAGAACTCCGAGGGATGCACAGGCACTAGTCCCGCCAAGTCGCAGAGCACATCGTCCGTCAACTTCTCCCCAACAGAAGCGGTGATTGTAGCCGTGGTATTAGCGGTGAGATTATTTGTTCCTGTTTTCCCTGTTTCTACTCGTGTCGTCGTCGTGTCACATTCCTTGTGTGCATGCGTTGTCGGCGACGAGCCTTTTTCCCTTTCGTAGAGAGAATTTGTAGGTGTCTTCATTGACTCCTTCGACAGCCGCGCCCACAGGCATGAGTCCGCATGCTCCTTTCGCACTGGTGGAGGAATACACGCAACTTGCCGTCTAGCCTTCGTTTCGTACGGAGCCCAACGTCCCAGCATCCTGGCGACATCACAGTGTTTCGCCTGCAGAAGGGCGAGGTCGTAGAGCGCAACACCAATCTCATCGAGCAGAAGCTCTGCGTGGACGGCACACATTATCAATGCCTCCTCTTCAGTGTAGGCTTCTCCGTGTGCTTCTACGCAACCAAATGATTCGGGCACAGGCAGGAAGACCTTCTTCACCCACCGCTTTAGTCCCTCATCGGTCCCGACAACAGCAGTTGTCACAGCACTTTCTAGCCTCTTACCGTGGCGCTCCAAGAAGTCCCGCAACCGGACCGTTGCGAATCGGTCTGCTTGTCGCACAGATGGAAGTGTGTGCACGTAGTTGCGTCCCTCCTGAGCAGTGACACTGGGGTTTACAATGATGCAGCCCTCCGCATCGGCATCCAGAGACCAGTCGCTCCGCGGCAACTCCGCCCGTGCGCTGCGAAGTCGCGCCTCTTGACTCTCCGAGGCCATGCCACGTCGCTGCTCCGAAGCAGGTGAAAAGCCAATGCCTCTTACAGGCGAAAGACCAGGCACCATGATCCGCCCGAGGTGGGCAACAACATAGCGGTAGGGTGGCGGCAGCTCCGTATCGCACGTGAGATTCCGATGTGACTTCCCCTCGTCGTTGTGAGCGGCACTACCCAGCACGGGTCGGTTGAGCAGCTCTAGGACACTGAAGACGTGCATCGAGGCGGCAATTTCAGCCTCCATCTCTGTTGTCCCAATGCCAATCGCTACAAATGAAGAGAAGACAGCCTTATTGGTGTCTACTGTGGCAGTACCTTCAGTACCAGAATCAGCAGTCACCACCGGAACTGGAACCGTCACAGTTGCACGATAGACTTCGTGGCCCTTCACACCAAGCGCCTCCACAAAAAACGGCGAGCCTGCATCTTGGGCGCTCGTCCGATGTTGTGTCATATACTCAACAAAATCGCGTCGTGTAGATGGGACAAGTACCTTTACCTCAGTAACATTTTTGAAGCTGTTAATGGCCTTTGTGTGACTCACAAGAGCCGCCTCCAGCGAAGCAGTGGGGTCTGCCTCTGCCGCTGTCATACCAGCAGCCGACTTGACGAGCTGCAGTGGAGGCGGTGATGCCTTCGTGTAGTGATAGTCACAATCACCAGGAGCGGCGCACCAGCGGTTCACCTTGCGGCATTCCTCCACGTGGGCCTCTTGTTGTTCTCTGCTCGAAGGATATAATGCAAGTCCAAGGGCGTCAACGATGAGCTCTGCATGCATGCATGCAAGCGCAATTGCCTCTCTTTTTGTGGGTGCCTTGCCGCACGCAAGGCGCTCACCAAATCGGGCGTCAATAGGCATTTTTAGTTGTGCAACAAATATTTTTTCACTATCATCGCCAGTGGACGAGGAGGCATCACAGCGTTCTTTATTCAAACACTTATGGAGCGCTGTTACACGACAGTAACGTTGAATATTGCAGTTGTACGCAGCAAAGAACTGTCTCACACGGAAAACACTCCCATGATCCAAGAAGAAGGGTGAGGCAAGGGTAAGTTTCATTGGTGTGAATGCACCAGCAGTAACGGTGGAGAAGGTAATATTGTCGATCTGCAGCCGGCGCTCCGCCGCCTTTGTTGCGCCCTCCCGCAGCAACTGCAGCCGCGCCGGCGACGGTGTGGTGGGCGGTCGTGGGCCTTCGCCGGGCATCGGCGCC